CTCCCCAAAAGCCTCCGATCGCCCCACATTAACCCTCCGATCCCCGTCTCCGTCCATCCGTCTCACTTCATCAGCCGTTTTTTTCTTTTAAAACTCATCACCAAACAAACAAAAGCAATGCACACGCATCCAAATCAAATCCGCTCTGCATGCGAGCGTTGCCGTCGTCAGAAACTGCGCTGCTCACGCTCACTCTCTTCACCTTCTTGCGCCCGCTGTACCCGTCTTGGCCTGACATGTCAGGCTGGTCTGCAGCGACGCGTCGGCAGACCGCCCAAGAGGGACATGGTGCTTCACAAGCCCGCTGAGGATATGCAGTTTGTTCAAGCGCTACTTGACGACACGGCTTGGAATCTTGATCCGTTTTGCGAGTATACGCCTGAGAGTCTCCCGTTTCCCATGGATGCATGGCCTTCTGTATCAGAGCTTGATCCGCCTGAGGCTGAGCAAAAGATCATAGTGCCTAGTATGCAAGTATTCGAGAAGTTGTCAAAACTTAATGTCGATATCCACCGGGGATGGGAATTTGTTTCGCAGCTTGAGAATGACTTTCGGTTGAGTACGTTTGTGTGTGAGGATCGGGAGAGGCAGAACGGGTATCAGAATATCCAGGTGGTCTTGAAGGCGGCGCAGGAGTACCTTGTTGTCCTCAAGACACTGCATCGGCAGCTCGGGACACGGACTGTGTATTGCCAAGGTCGCAAGCCACATACAAACAGAATGATGCTGTCCCTGGAGGCAAACACCAAATATCCTGAGTCCATAGCTTCTCCGTCGGGTGAAGCGACACCAATGTCCGGAAGCACTACACCCGAGCTTCCCCCAGTATTCGATTCGCCCACAATGTTTCTAATTATATCTTGCTACGTACAACTCACCAAGCATCTTGAAGTTGTACTCAGGATCATACTCAACTCAATATCAGATCCACACCAGGACCTCATCGATGCCGCTCCCATGTCGTTTGCCGATGTACCTCTGATTGAGCCGTCAACCCAATTCGTGCTCTTCTCCGAGATGTTTCGCCACACTATGAGTCAAATGAATCTGCTCATGGGACTCCCTAGTGCATGGTCAAGCCAGAGCGCTTGGACAGGTCTGTTGACCAATCAGCGGTATCGGGATATGCTGAATACTGAGCTTGGAGATGTGGAGGATGGGTGGACGACGAGGCCAGGCAAGTTGATGGAGATTAATAGGATAACAAAGGATATGCTGGACGAGTTCACCATGATGGGGATTTACTGAGCTTTCCCTGCTGGCCCTGCAATCCAGGTAACGAGGAATCACAGATGCAACTTCGTAGCGTAGGAGCAAGTCGCAGCCGTAGAATTTGGATCCAAGGTGACAGTTCATCGGGGAAATTTATACTCTAAGTTAATCTAATCTCTCTAGCGATAATTCATGGTTGAGCACTCTGGTGCTGGTGTGCTTCGTCGTCGTCGTCCTCCTGTAACATCAAAGTGCTGGCTCTTGTAGCCCAAATCTCATTCCTAACCTCAACTCCTCGCAAAAGCAAAATAAAATCCATGCAAAGTCATTATAGGGACATAGAGAAGGTGAATTCAAATTGGTTGCTGCCACCTGCGTCGAAAACGAACGGGAAATTGATAGCCACGTCGAGTGGGAGGCTATCGGCAACAGGACGTGATACCGTTGGCGTCGATCCTCGTCGGTTCGTCCTTGATAAAGTGTGCTCCTCGCTATTGGCCCTCTTATTTCTTCCTTTCTTAATCGGTGTCGCCAGTGCCTTCTTTGGTTCTGATGGTGGTTCAACATTCCATTCGCAAGCGAGCACGCCAAACTCGACCTGCTCTGGGTTCTTGTGGGCGCTCAGGCTGCTCGACTTGGCGTATTTGACAAAGTTCTCTTGTAGCCAGGATTTGACTTGAAGAACTCTGGAGCTGATAGTCCAATCTTGCGTATCCGCTTCGAAGTAGCTTCTGTTCCCGCCCTCGAACCTGCATGTGCCGGCTTTCGCTTGAACAAAGTCAGTGGGATCGTCTCGAGCTTTCGTCATCCATAACTCACCTTTCAAGTTGCTCTGGAACCCGTGGCGATCTGTGGCAGCATTGAGGTCGGATTTCCGTAGAATGAGGTAATCTACAAAGAAGAACTGCTCCAGATTGGGGAGATATTGGGCCAAGAACCTGTACAAGTGCTTCGGATACCTGACTTTATCAGGAGTGCTGTGGATCAGACCGCAGTTTGGACATCGCCTGGGCGATTGTTGCTCATACCATTTGTGGCAATATCTGACCGCGACCTTTCGAATTTGATCGAGCCCCGAGCAGTTCAAAACCTTGTTGAAGCGTATGCTGTCTTCGTAGACCTCAGGTGGGACGTATTCAAGATAGATAACATCGGAGAGGGCGTTGAGACTAACGATCCGGCCAGTGTTAAGGCGGAAAGTTGTAGACCTATTTGTAAGGGACTTGGCTACGGCAGCAGCTTCGTTGCATGTGACGGAAAGTTTGGTGAGCTGTTGATGGAGATTCGTGTAATAAGAGATATCGGCTTGTGGAGTGGGGTAGAGAGGCTTCAGTGTACCATACACCTTGGCAGTAGGGCGAGTTTCCCTTCTGACCTCGAGTGCCATAGAATCGACGTCCTCATCGTGATCTTCAGCAGTTGCGTGGAGGAACATCGGCTCTTTGAGCCACCACTTCCCAAGCCCTGTTGACGGGTGCCAGTCGGTGTCGATTTTGAGAAAGTGCATGCCAGGAGTCTCCAGGGTAGCTTGCCATATCTGGGCACGTATCTCTGGCGGCAGGCGAGGAAAGGGCGAGAAGGTGCGGCAATCTTCAGGTATTTGGAATTTGAGGGGAGTCACTATCGATTGTAGAGGGTCCTCAGTAGAAGGCTCTGTATCCTTTGATGCCGGGGGATGTTGGACGGTGACGCCATCGTGGGCATTATCAAGGTCGTGAGCACTCATGATAGCCGTGGGCCATGAGCTTATCGTTATCTCGCGATCATGAAGGAGGGGTGTAGATTAGAAAGACGGACGATCAAAAAGAGCGAAGACGACGCAACAGAAGCGATCGGCGGAGCTGGATGAAGTGAAGAGAAAGTGAAGATACAGAGTATCGATGGTGTTGCAGAAACAAAAATGATGGAGTGACGTTGGAGAAGTAGCGGAAGCTTCATATCAGTGGCCAGTGAGTAATCGGGATTGGCGGGGAAGCAGGCAGCCACAGCCAGTCTGCGAGTGCCCGTCAGGTCGGGTCGGAGAGGGTGGTCACTGTAGCATGCAGAGTTCAGCCGCTAAACAGGCAGCTCAGCGCCACAATGCAGCACTATCAGCTCTACCTAGGCTAGTTTTAATGGATGAGGGACTACAATTTGTGAAATATTATTATTACATATCGCTTGAATTGTCAAATGCATTTACTACGCTTTGGCATATTCTGCGATATTTCCTGTCTCGTGGTTTGGCTTGTGTAAAGCGCTTCACCGCATTTACCTTGATGATTCAATGCTTCGGCAGATGCGCCAACCAACGCATGCCACCGCACCTTGACGGGTCATCTCAAGCTGTCAGGTGAGAACTCAATGCGATCTAATTGCCTACAATTCGTTATTTCACTTACTGAGGCTTATCACGTCATTCATTCTACTATTTTATGAAGTAAACAGCTCAAATTGGTGCAAATCATTGTTACGGCGTTTTTAAAGTCATACGTCAGATCTCAATCTACGTGCGACATGAGATCCATGGCTGGCTTTTTTGTGACACGCCATTACAGCCACTGAGAAGAAGACACTCTCAACGATGTGGATGAAGAGTAAGCGAAATAAACGAAAAAACAAACATCTCACTTGCGCAATCTCATGTGATGAAGTAGTTTGTCTCCAATCTTCCTCTTTCAAGAGGCCTCTAAAGGAAGAGGAAACATGCATTTCACAAGTAAAAGTAGAGGATGATGCAGTTCTCAAGGAGCGAACGATGCATATTAAGCTTGAGTAACTTCAATCTTATTGCAATCTAAGTATCTATAATTCTGAATTCAACTCCTTCTTTATTGTCTCCAAGCCAAAGAGCATACTGCAGCGATTAGTATCCAAACTTCTGCCCAACAAGCTCCTCACTCAACCTCCACAACTTCTCAGCCTCAACAGCATCTCGCGCCCAAGCCTTGACGGTGTCAACAAAAGGATCAGCAACCCTCGCCTCCAAGAGATAAGCGCCGTTGCTTGCTATTTCGTTATTAGTATTTATCCAATGCCATCTGGACATATCACCTCACCTTTGATGTTGGGGTCGAAAGCAGCAAATGCATGTGTCGCAGCGCCGACTTCAACGGGAACAGGGGGGATAGCTTCCCATCCTTCAGAGTTACCACGTTCACGGTGAGATTTGACTGAAATTTGTTAGTTAGAGTATTAGAGGGGAGAAGAGTTGACTTACTGAAAGTGCCGAGATCAGCGTCCATGCTGGCAAAGTCTAGGTGTGTGCCGAGACCAGTTGACAGGATGAGGCCGGGGTGAACACTATAAGATTGAAGACCACGACTTCCCAGCTTTTGAGCCAAAGATACAGAGAAGAGCATGTTGGCAGTCTTGGATTGACCGTAGGCAGTCCATTGGTCGTAAAGTTCGCCATCCTGTTGAAGTTAGTATGGCACAACATGCAAGGATAGATGACTTACACTGAAGTGAGGATCAGCGAAGCGAATAGGACCAAGACTGTGACCATTGCTGGAGATGTTGACAACACGAGGTGACTCCGAAGCAAGAATCTTATCCATAACCAAGTTCGTCAGAAGGAAATGTCCAAGATGACAAATAGCAAACTGCATCTCAAAGCCATCCACACTCTTCGTATACGGAATAGCCATGACTCCAGCATTATTGACAACGACATCAATGCTAGGCACATCACTCCAGCTGTTAACCTCCTCAGCAGCCTTTCGCACTGAAGCCAAAGAGCCAAGATCTACCACAAGAGAGCGGGTCTTAACGGAAGGGTTGGTCTTGGTGATGGCTTCAGACATTTCCTGGAGTTTGGAGGCGTTGCGGCCTGCGAGGATGAGAAGAGATGGGGATTTGGAGGCGGTTTCTAGGATGAAGGTTCCGCCAAGACTGTAGGGTGTGACACCTGTTGTGAGGATTGTTTTGCCCTTGATGATGTCGGCATACTCGTTGACGAGGTCGTTGGTGGTGGTTGAAGCAGAGTGAGGAGACATGATGATTGAATTGATAGCTGATGAAAGCTAAAGTTGTGTTTTTGGAGTGTGTTATTGAGTGTTTGTTCTGAATTGTGAATCTTGATGATAAGTTTCTCCAAGTGGGAATATCCCACGATATTTATACAAAAACCCATTTCTAAAGTCCGAAATTGATGTCGTCGAGATTGTATAGCTCACACGAATAGAATGAAGTCCGAATGTTGCAGTATCTCGCGGCTGGCGTCAGCCATCGGCGTAGGAGGGGCCGATGCTGACGCTTTTTCGCCAACATATCCGAAAGGCCAATCAGGTTGCGAGTTGATCAAGACAACCTTCGCTTTCGGACTTTAGAGCAAGGGTATCATCGTACTGCAGGATGATGGCAAAGGTGTAGCGAGCGTTTATAGATCCCTTTTGAGACTAGAAAGTATATAGGATCAAGGGCCTGGAGGATTCATCCAAGCTACCCCAAAACCCGCCAATCAAGTTCACGAGAGGCTTCATTAATTGCATCGGAGATACTAGGAAGTCCTTGGTTGCTGGTGTAGAATCTCTCTCAATTCTAGAAGAGTTCCTCCGGTTTCTCAGTGCATCGATTGTTTGTGATGCACTGTCGTGACGTATGCCCTCACTTCAGATGATAGGCAGAGTAACTGCTTCAGAACGCACCGTCACCAACATCTTATGTGAAATTGGGAGAATTATCGCTTTTACTTCTTTCTTGATTTCTGTGGAGGAGATCTAAGTCCCTATATATACAGTGAAAGCAAGTCTATACCTTCTTTTGCCATATAACACCAGGGTATCCGCTTCTATCCCAACGCCATCCCATAAGTGCAAACTCCCTATAGATATATCACCATCAGCCTCCTCAACTCTCATCACTCAAGGCAACCTCCCACTCCTGCAATACCGTCGGTTCTTGCACCGCACCTCCCGAAATCCCACTCAACCACGCCCTGCACGCCTCAAGGTGCGCATACTCTGCATCATCATGCCCTCTTAATCCCTTCATCTTGACATCCGCGACCTCTAGCACACTCCTCCCCGCTGCATCGCGAACATGAACACATGCGCCGCTCTCGACAAGTTGTTTGACAGCGAGTTTGTGACCGCAACGAACAGCTATGTGCAGTGCTGTTTCGCCTGATCGGTTTCGAGCGTTGACGTGTGCGCCGGAATCGATGAGTTCTCGAATGATATCGGGGCCGATCTTGTAGTCGTCGTCTTCGGGGAGTTGAGCGACGAAGGCCATTAGGGGTGTGTTGCCGTGGATGTCGTAGTGGTTTGGATCGACGCCTGCGTCGAGGAGGTTCTGGAGAAGAACAAGACGGAATTGTAATCTATCGGTGCACGAGTCCGAGTTCTTAACAGTCTTGTCCCTTCTGCGTCTTCGGTCGATCGGCGCGCCGTTCTCATCGAGGTAGTACTTTTGCGTGATACTGGTTTCACTGAGTGTGGCGGCTGCGAGGCAATGAAGCCCGTTGCGACCTTGGTTGTCTTCGAGTCGGGGGTTGGCTTCCGCATCGTTGACATACTTGAGGAGCTGTGTCTCCTGGTGGATATCGTCAAAGTGCCAAGGATCAGCAATGCTAGCTTGTCGAGACATCGGTACCGGAGGGTCGACGTCCATAGCCTGTGTGCTCGCTCTGCTGATACCCAATCCAGGCTCAGGGATGGCTGAGTAAGTAGGTGTTACGTTGAAAGCGTCCCTCTTCTGATAGCTTGTAGCACTGCACAGTCCCAGTGCATAATTTCGTAGCTCAGGTGGTGTGTCCCGCAATAAGAGAATATGCGAGAATGAGCGTCCATAGCAGTCGCGCGCACTGAAGTCGAATCCTTTATGAGCAAGTGCATCCAACAACTGCTTAAGCAGCTCCTGGTTCTGAGGTTGAAACCAGGTAGTGTGCAAGACGTGGAGGAGTGTCTGGCCCGCTGTATTCTGCACATTCAGGACATGGTTGGCCTTATCCGAGATGATCGCTTGAAAAAGGTAATCCGACAAGAATCGCGCAGCCATGAGATGAAGTGCAGTATGTCCAAACTGATCGCGCTCTTCGAATGAACTACCATGGACAGCAGCTGATAAGGCATTGGTGCCAGTTTGAGTAGGGCCATGTGCTGTGATCCAAGCTGGCTCTTCGATCTCATGGAGAGGGCGGCAGAAACAAGCTAATTTCTGATGAATCTCATCTTGCGGAAAACATGTATATCGTGCAAGTTCTTCGATACAGAGGAAGTTTCCGGGAAGATAGTAAGGTCCCATGGGCAAGTGAACCGGTGCGTCACGATCGTTGAGCCATGATGCCACATTCGGCTCTTCATCTGAGATGGGAGATAGACTGGTTCCTCGACGGTTGAGAGGCGCTGTATACCGTTTTATAAGGCGCTTTACTGTCTTGACATACGGATGTGAATAATCATTGAGAATTTGTCGTAAACTTCCAGTAGTGCAGTCCGTCGATGTAGTCATGAATGTAGGCCGCTGTAAGAAGTTTCGAAAAGTACTGTTGTCCTCCTGATTTTGTTGGATCTGCCTTTGAGCAGCCGTTCCGTTATTTGCGACAAACTGCTGTGGATATTGGTTAAATGGCGGAACTTCGAGCGACACTCTAGTACCGGGATCTCTAACAAGATGTGGTGTTGGGATAGCGTTGAGAGCTGGAATAGGTCCAGAAGCTTGAGTTGGAGATGCGACGGAATTATGGGTTGAGCTGGTGCGTGTAGGAGAAAGAGCCAGCTCTTCTAATCGGCGAACCATGTCATCTTCGGTCTTGGGGTGAAGCCATCGTGGCTGTTTGTTGAGCATCGCATTGAGTGTCTTGTGGGCCGAATCTTTACTATACAACTGTTAGTGTATATCTACAGCGCAACATCAAGAAACACATACCCAGGCGCAGGAGTATCGGGAGATTTAGCATGAACGACCGCCATAATCTTCTCAAGAGGAAGCGTAGTATAAAGATAAAGCCGTGAGACTTTTCGTCGCGAAGAAGGGGTCCATAGTGGCGGTCTTCCAGTTGTGGTATTGTTAGATCCGCTAGGCGAAGCAGATGATATCGGAACTTGAAGGTTAAACGGCGAAGCAACGTTATTGTTCATTGCGCTGAGCTTTGATTCACAATTCAACAACAAAGTGGGGAAAAGGCAATCAGAGGCGATTCCGATGCTGCTTTTAGCTATATTTCACGAGGCTGTCATGATGCTGATGGTTGATACGGGAATTGCAAGTTTATAAGTCAGCTCCCTCTTAGGCCAGGTCATAGGTCGCTAAGTTAGAGGGCAGTGGTGAAGACGAGAAAAAAGATGGCCGCCAGAACAGGCCGGCGGGCCACAAATAACCTGCAGCAGACGGAACTGTGGAATGGGAGGGAGAGGTGCTGCGCCTCAGCGCTCGCAGGAGGCCTGTTCGGAAAGAGGTTGCGAGTGCTACAAATGGATGTTTGGGTGAGACAGAGTGTGCTGTAAATGGATAGCTAGAGGGTAAAAGGCCGTAGGAGGTCTGAGTGCCGTGCTCCCGATGCATTGACGTCTGTGATCTGGAGATAGACGAGGGAGATAATCTAAGGCAATCTGCAACTAAGACGCTGAGGCCATTCCCGTAGACAGCTATAATACAGGCGATTTGATAGTGCTACAGGGCTCCATGTTACAGTTCCCACCAATGACTTCCAAAATGGAGCAATTCCATAGTCTGAACCTGAGTACAGTTACGTCAAAGCTCTTAATCATTTGATCAATTAAATGATGAAATACTCAATTCTCCATCACAGAACCAGAGCCGAACCAGTCGAGTCAGAGGGAACCTAGGTCGCTGCCCTGGCATCAGTGGAACACATGCAGAGGCGCAGATCACGGCTGTGCTTACTGTGGCTCCAGGCACAAAAAGCCTTGCGCCACACCAACGAGGCTTTTCGGCATCACCACCAACTTCTATGCAATATTTCAGTATGATGCCTCTCTTCTTTTCTCAATAGCGGAGAGGAATGATGTCAATATGCTTAAAGAGAAGAGGAACTCATGAATCAAGACTGACGATGATGGAATTGCCGAGACTGAAGAACCAACTGAACGGCTAGGGTTGGATTAACGGAACGGATATTTTAGACATGGGACAGATTGTATGCTTCATACATCTCATTATCGAATGACTTCTGTTTAACAGAGTTTATCAATTTATCTGGAAGTATTCAGTTATAGAAAGCGGTTCGCCTTGGCATCCCTTCGCTGAAACCTACGTCTCCCTTCAAGCGCGCCATGTATGTCATCAGCCCTTGCATTCGCCGCCTCATTAGTTGAAACAGCCGCGCTCGACGTCTCTGTAAGTCATCCGACCTCGAAAAAGAGACATTTCTACCCCGCCGTAAAGATGACTGCCATTTATCAACTCTAGTCGTAAAAAGGTTGGTTGTCTGCAGCCACGACACCGTTTCTTTCATGGTTGACTGTTGAAACCTTGAAGCCATCGACGACACCACGCCTAGCTTGTGATAGCTCATACGTAGGTCCTATGTCATCGTTCGAAGTCTTGCGGGTATAACGGGACAAAGGGAGAATCGAGTGATGAGACATTCTCAGACGACTCATGGACCTCTTTCAAGGAGTTGTTTGCTTCCCTTTGTTTCGTTCTGAATAGCCAATCACGGCTATTCTTAGACCTCCGAATCTTTCTCACACCCCTTCAAAGTCTAGTCTATGCCTTTGAGAAACTTGACAACTCCAAGACAATCCTCTAGCAGTCTGACTCTTTCTCAACCCATTATCATTCATCCTTTATCGTTTTCACTCTTTACCATCCTCGCCGGAATTATCTCACACCGCAACTAAAAGCCACTTTTCCATTCAGAAAACACCTATTTTCTAGAATCCTTCCACACGCCACTATCTGCTTCCCGCATTCCAGAGCAGAGACATGTCTCCCCTTTTTTCTCCTCAACGGCCACAAGACTTTTTGACTTTCGGGAAAAATCCCGCCCTGTTTCTGTTACCAACGATCCGGTTGAAACGGTCCCCTAATTTGTTTTGCTCACCCCCTCCTCTTTGTTCTAGCGCTGTTCCACATGATGAATCGAAGGAGATAGAGTTTACAAAACTGGTATCACATGGAGACACTAGTGACGACAAAGGATTAAGTGAGTTCACGTGATAAACGGCCGGACCGTTGAGCTTGGGGTAAGGACTTGGGTTTGAAGCAGTCAGTCCAGTCAGTTGCTCAAGCTTGAATAAGAAGACATTGGAGAATCACAAGGAGCAAAGACGTATTAAGGCATGTCTATAATTGATGATGTGGTGGTATCTTCAACAACAAAATTACACAATATTATCCAAAAATCGTAACCATTCTTTCTACCACTACTTGGCCGAGCCAAGATCGTCTAAATCATACTATGTACATAGTGAAGCTTATTATGTTTGTAATAAATAAACAGCAAAGGGAAAGTTTTATGTTCCATGATGCATTTACAGAAGAACGGCAAAGATACCGGCGGCAGCGACGGCCATCTCGACACCGAAGCGAGAAGCACCGGCAGTGACCTCGACAGCGGGGGCAGTGCCAGTGGGCGCGTGGTAGGGGAGAGTGGCAGAAGGCTGGCTGGGAGCGGGAGCCACGTGGGTCTCGGTCTCAGCAGGAGGAGCAGGGTAAGCAGAGTGCTCAGGCTTGGAGGGAGCAGAGTACTCGGGCTTGGCGGGAGCAGAGTACTCGGGCTTAGGAGCAGGGTACTCAGGCTTAGCAGGAGCGGAGTGCTCGGGCTGCTCAGGCTTGGGAACGACAACGGTAGGGTAAGAAGGAATCTCCTTGGTACCGGTGGCGTAGACAGTGGTCTGCTGGACGGTCTCGGTGGTGACAGAGCCGTAAGGGCAGTTGGGGACCTCAGGACCGCACTTGGTAACGGTGTAGACCTTGGTGAGGTAGGCGGTCTTGGTGGTGTAGAGAGTGCTGTGAGGAGGAGGAGCATAGCCAGTGGGCTTGGTGTGCTCCTCAGTGACAGGGCAGACGGTGGTAGAGACAGGGACAGTCTCAGTGGTGACGGAACCGTAAGGGCAGTCCTTGACCTCAGGGCCGCACTTGGTGACAGTGTAGACCTTGGTGGAGTAGACAGTCTTGGTGGTGTACTCAGGAGGAGCGTAGCCGGTAGGCTTGGAGTGCTCCTCAGTGACAGGGCAAACGGTGGTAGAGACGGGGTAGCTCTTGGTAGTGACGGATCCGTAGGGGCAGTCCTTGACGGTAGAAGCGCACTTGGAGATGGTGTAGACCTCAGTAGAGTAGACGGTCTTGGTGGTGTAACCAGTAGGCTTGGGGTGTCCCTCAGTCACGGGGCAGACAGTGGTGGAAACAGCAACGGTCTCAGTGACGGTGTAAGGACCGTGAGTTCCGTAAGGGCAGTCCTTGACGTAGTCAGGGCACTTGGAGTAGGTGTGGACAGCAGTGGTGTAGACAGTCTTGGTGGTGTAAGGGACGGTAGCCTCGGTGGTCTGGGTGCCGTGGGATCCCTCAGTGGTGGAAACACCAGCAGTCTTGGTCTCAGTGCCAGTAGGAGCGGTCTCAGTCTTAGTCTTGGTGTTGACAGGAGCAGTCTCAGTACCGGTAGGAGCGGTCTCGGTCTTGGTGCCGGTAGGAGCAGTCTCAGTCTTGGTCTCGGTACCGGTAGGGGCAGTCTCGGTCTTGGTCTCGGTACCGGTAGGGGCAGTCTCGGTCTTGGTCTCGGTACCGGTAGGGGCAGTCTCAGTCTTGGTCTCGGTACCGGTAGGGGCAGTCTCGGTCTTGGTCTCGGTACCGGTAGGGGCAGTCTCGGTCTTGGTCTCGGTACCAGTAGGAGCAGTCTCAGTCTTGGTCTCGGTACCAGTGGGAGCGGTCTCGGTCTTGGTCTCAGTACCGGTAGGGGCAGTAGCAGTCTCAGTGCCAGTGGAGAGCTCCTCGGTGGTAGAGTCGCAGTCCTCCTCCTCAGTAGTGGTGGTCTCAGCAGGGGCAGTGGTGGTGGAGGCAGCCTCGGTGGTGACACCGGTAGCAGTCTCGGTCTCAGAGGTAGCGGTATCAACCTTGGTGGTGCCGGTCTCGGTTGTAGCAGTGTCAACCTCAGTGGTGCCAGTAGTGGCAGTCTCGGCCTCAGTGGTAGCGGTGGTGGCAGTACCAGCCTCGGTGCTAGCAGTCTCGGTGGTAGAGACGGCAACAGCAGTGGTGGTGGTAGCAGCGGCACAGGCGCAAGCATCCACAAGAGCTTGTCGGTCGGCGCAATCGTTGGGACGATCGCATGTGGTGAGCTCCTGGCAGTAAGTGGCACCGGGAGCGATGACAGCCTGGTAGCAAAGGTCATCGGGATCACACTCGCACTCCTCTGTGACAGGAGGGTTCTCGAAAATGTTGGCAGAAGCCAGGCCAAAGGCCATGGCCATAAAGACAGCGCTCTTCATTATGTTGGAAAGAATGTACAGATTCAGTAATGAACGAATGGACTGCGGTAGAACTCTGAAGAGTTACTTATATTCCGCGAAGACTGATATAAGAAAGAGTGACAAGAAGAGGAGTGGGAAGGAAAAGAATGCCCATGTAGGTCGGAGGATGGTGTTTATATGCAAGAAACGACCGAGTGAGCCTGGTCCGTCCATCCATTCATCCCCTACCCTGCCTCTCCCACATCTCGTCCTCTCTCTCACTCATTCTCTTCTCATCCTCTCGCGGGCGTGGGCCGCCGTTGGGCGTGGGTGGGTGACCCATACCCAGATTCTGATAGTGTGCCTGAGCTTCGCGTTAGTTTAGGGCGCTATTGAGCAGGGCTTCACACCCATGTGAGAGATGAGCAGATGGAACTAATCCAGAACGAGAGCCCTGCCCAGTGCAGTGCTGTAAGTAACGGGCTCTTGTGCCGTCAGCCCGGCCTTGGCCGTGAAAGGCGCCTGTTGGAAAAGCAACAGTCGAACAAAGTGCGTGCGGGTCAAAGAACGATGAAGGTCGTTAGCCGCTTGGGTAATGGTGCGCTGAGTCGGGTCTCCACAGGGGTTGTCCCCTGACCCCTGACTAAATCGTGGCTAAACTAACCGCTTTGGGCGTTGTTAGCGGGGGTCGCTAAGAGGCAGTCGCCGAGAGCTGCGGTGGAGCGATACGATGCTGGGATTAACGCACATGGACTTCGTTTACAAACATTCAACCTTGCAAGGCCTAAAGCTCTAGAGATGAGTCGCTGAGCAATAGTTTCTCGTCGGATGTCGCACCAAAGAGTCCGGCTTCTTGGGCGGCTGACGCTATTACACGTCGTTATTTCAGCTGAAGATTGGATCAAATAGTTTGCGATAACCTTGATTGATACGAATAACCTTCTGGAGTATCCCAGCAGCTGAGGCTGTCTATTCCATGCTTTCTAGTTGCTGATACGGATAGGGGTATTGTCCTTCATTTCCTGTATAACTCCATGCAACTGTAATCGCATGTTGTTAGTCATCGGCAGTTTGTATTGTTCCTCTGCTAGCCTTTGTCCGCCATTGGATCTAACATCAAAGAAGGTTTGTTATTTTTAGTGTCGAGTGTTCACTCTATCGTCTTTTCCGGAGCAGTATGGAGAATGGGAAATTAAGCAACGCGTATCGGTTTTGTTAGTGAGAGGCAGTGACAGACAATACGTTACCCTACGGAGCGATAACGACCGAAGAACCACAGATTCCAAGTTTTAGCATCTCGAGTTTCCAGTGATCGTCATGATGATCACCGAGATCTTTTCTGGAATCTCATCGATCGCGATGGTAGCCTATGAATGGTAGGATCATAACCCCCAAGGAGCCGAAGAAGCCGTTGGTTTTAGTGGGAATTGTTTCCTTGATCTGCTTCAAAGAAGCCCCTCATGATGACTTGCTTGCACTCCACCAACTCAGAGCTGATGGTTTGTCTTCTATTGTTAACTTTCTTTACTCTCGATGAAGAGTATCTTAAGAGCAAGAAAGACAATATTGTTTGACTGTTGGATATTCTTTCGTCCTCTTTTGGTCCTTTCATACTCGGCTCCCTCAAATGCCGTTTATAGCATTGCACAGCCTTCACATTCTGTTTCGGTACCACACTGAATCCAAAAGCGTCCATTTTGTGTGTCTGTTGATCCCTACCAATGACCATCGCACGATCAACACTGAAAGTTCGGGTACCTGACAGCATGCAGATTTTAGCGTCCGCAATCTCCAGAGTGTGTGGATGGCACTCACAAAGGAAAGGAAACACAACCAAGCGTCATAGACGGTTTGTCAAGGCTTGCATTAACCCAAGGGGGAGATTAAAGAAGGATGAACCCAACTGCCACGAAAAAAACGGGCATCGAAAGATCCGGTTTGTTTGGTGGCTTAGGGGCACTTTGAAAGAAGCGCTACGAGAGCGGTGCGCACTGCAATTTGCATCATTCGCGCTGTGGCGTCTTCTAGAGCCCAATTGGCGTCCGTGACTCGCCCACTTGGTTCCCAAGCCATCGCAAAGCAATTGCGTGCATGCGAGAGGGTGTGTTTTATGCATCTGCATAAATGAATCGTTTCTTTTTTTAGGGGTAAAAGGATGAGACGATGTGAAAGCGTTCCTGACGGTGGCTGTCGTGCCACCGGTAGTGGTAGTAGTTATAATCGTCTTATTTACGGTGGCACTGATATTATACTGGGGAAGCCTCGTTGACGATACGCAATGATCCATGATTGATAGGACCCTTTGTGAAAGTGTCAAGTTTCGCCATCGTCCTGTCATTCAATTCGACTGAAACTTTTTGGCATGAATAAACAGTCAGTGCTTGCTTCTAATCGGATCCATGCGCCGAGGTCGATTTGGCAAATTCTCCAACAATCCAATTCATCTCATTGGTCCATTCACCCCTGCCACCTGAGTTGTGGTCTTCCCTGTTCATAAAATAATACCTTGCCGGTGATAATTGGATAAATCGCGATAATGCAAGGGACATGACCTACGAGGTGACATTTTGTCGCACAAAAATCGTAAGGGTTCAAACACGATCTGAGGAATCCTTGCTCACTCCCACGCGATAGCCCCAGGGACCAATTAATATCCTCGTCTTGTCGCTCTCCTCAACTGAAGTTGATTCAACCAACTTCAAGCCTCAAAGTGCTCAGCGGCTGCGGGAGTGGAGAGTCATATCCCGCTGTGAGACAAGACGATACAAAACGACACGTTCTGTCGGTTGAAGCCGCATTCCAGTGCGAAATAACCTCAAATCGTACCTATTTCCTCTTTTTCCCCCCATATAAATCGTAGTCCACTTTCTCGTTCTGCTTTACCAATGCTGCCCCTGTCACCGGAGACGATTTGTGTTAGCGCACCACGCCAACGGTGATAGTTCCATGCAGGCCTGTCACTCTCAAACAGCGCCTGAGTCTGCTTTTTCCCTTCTTAGTGAGCTCTTCGTTGGCCGTTGCTGTCGTGTTGGCCTGCACCATGCAATAGGGGAATCCTTTCGTCATGGGAGCATGTTACCGATGCAGAAGCACACAGGCATTCGTACACGTCTTGGCCCAATCCATTACAGTTCAGCGCATACTATCTCCATAGTGATGACTGATGAGTGATGCACGGAGACACTGAGTTTTCCCATCAGCCCATTATGCCTTGGCAACCCGTGCTCAGGCCCCGTCGTATAGCCAAAAAGCAATGTCATCTATTAGTCTAAAATTCTAAATGTCATTTCCATCTTCACTCTCGCTTTCGCACGCTCCGACGCCTTGGACGCTTTTGCCACAACTGGGGCCAAGAAGGAAGCTCTGCTCGTCCCGATGATCTGCCCCAGATAGGGGAGGGGAGGTCGAGGCCAAGCTGAACGCAGGGGTTTCTACATAGTATGGTCGAAGCGTCGAGCTATCGAAACTTGGAATTGATAGTTTTGCGAATAGCTGGTCTTGGCCAAGCTCACGTCTATTCTGGGCTTTTGCGTTGCGCTTGCAAAGCTAGTCTTGGGATTGTGGAAATGAGGCTCCTGAGTTTGCTGTTTTTGTTCAATGCGAGTGTGATGATGGTGTGGTGCTGTCAAGCTGTGCTGGCGGTGGTACGTGGTGAACTGTCAGTTAAAGAAGCTATCAGTCCCAGCAGTGTTGTTGTTTTGAGTTGCCCTCATTGTTGTTGATGTTCGTCACCTTGTCAACGTATGCTATACCTTTGGACCCTCCATCTGTTGTCCTTTGTGACTCATATTAATGTTATGCGCTGATCATCCTCAACCGATAGACTTTCCAGACTCTGGGGCAACAGAAAGGTTATCTCAACACAATGCTGACCTCGATTGATAGTGCTAGCCTTGGCTCTCGATCGATGCATTTTTTTCATAGAAAGTTGGTCTCTACCAGTAATCTGACCTGGATAACCATAGGTACCATTCCTCAATTCGCCTCAAACACGGGCGAGTAGCTCGCATCTGCGCAATGATCGCTTCTCGAGTGGCCCGTTGACCGTGTCCTTTTCGTTCGACCATGATCGAAAATCTCATTCTCCTCGGGCCATCCATGCTAGACTTGGCTACATGATCTGACCGATTGCATCCAGAGCCCCATTGCCTCGATTTCGGATGGAATTGCGCCCTCACCAGTATGCCAAGCTTGAGCCGCGACCTCAGTGGTGAAGGCAATGTGCGTGAATGATGGACAGTGGATGAGAAAATATAACAGGAGAGTGGTCAGCAGCTCACAAATCTATCTACATGCATGCCGAATATATCTCAGATAAAGTCTCGGTAGTTGCAAATAGGGCTGTGGACCGTTGGAATGTAAACTTTCGATTGCCGATGCACTGGAATGTTGATGAAGCTCAAGGTTTGGGCCTTCAACGGTGGGACAATGGGGCTCTGCATTGGCTCCATATTCCATAACGGCTTCGAGAAGGATCTTGGGATTCTGAAGTCTTATCAGGTTTGTTATTTTCTCATTATCTAAAATTAACTCAGGTAAATGAGATCGTAGAGCGAGATGGTGCATCTAAGCCTCGCAGTCAAAAAACCATCTCGGCTTCAAATTGCTCGCATCTAATCTTCGACGTGAAAGCACAAGGCCATAACTTAGACACAAACTAGGCCATATCACCTCTCACATACCATGCTATGGACTACAATTGAATGAGACCCGTCAGCATAGATTGAGTATTGATCATGGTCTAGAGATCATTTGTGAGGTCACGGAATGCTCCCTCTGCGTGCTTCAGGTGTAGGGTAGTGAAATACCCGGTGCAAATAAGCAAACTGTTTTTGTGACCTCGAATGGACAACAATGACAGTGTTAGACATTCATCATTATAGAAACATCATACTTTGATATTTGAACTACGTCTAAATATGGTCAAGTAGTCAGTCTGTGCCTACGGGTTTTCCATAATTGTGATGAATGGTGAAACGCTGGCAGCATCACAAGGCTAGCCCTACGATGCGCCAAGGACATGTCAATGCTGCGCTTCGACCACCACGCCTGGAATTGATCTCTGTCAAACTGATGTAGATCTCAAAGAGCGCTGGCGTCACGGATGGACTGAAAAATCATCTCATGAGTCAGATATCGGTTCCCTCCCAAAGATACCATTGAAGAAGCATGTAAAGTCAGCCTAGTCGTTCCCCTTGTGTAGTCATTCTCCAGATATGATCTTTCGTCAAAATTGCGAGTTCGCAAATGCAATCTTGAGAGGGTGGCAAATGACCGACAGAATATAATCGTGATTTCCAGGGATGCATTGAGCTTCATGACGGCCGTTATGAACTTGTCAGCATCGTGATAATTGCCTCCCTCATAGCCCATATGTTTTGAACCTATTCCGCCCTGAAACGTGCAGTAGAATGTCTGAGAAGGCCTCCAATAAGATAAGAGCACAGGGAACTGGAAGCCAACTGAATTAATTGGACACTCTGACCTTACGCTGATGATAACCGTGCTGGATTGAAACTGTGGCGCAGCAACTGTTCATCCCGCTCAATTGACCATCAGTGAGGATATGCTGAAAAGCGCTCAACTCAGTGACTTCTACCTCCCGTGAAGACAATGTAACATACTATCTGCAAGTTGCCGCAAATGAGTGCCAAAACATTCACCAAAGTACTTCTCACCCATCAACTGTTGCCTTATCTTTTGGGGGCCGGCCGGCTGGGATGAGCCACTATCTTGGTTCCCTCTGTGGCTGATGTCACCGTGAGGTTTCCAACGATTTGAGTTCTGCGCAATTGCGGGTGTATGAGACGGGTCCCTTTTCCGCCAAACATTGAGTTATTCAACTTTTTTCTGAACTGAACTGTCCCGCGGCGCAGTCTCCGTTTCAGTTTGCTTTTTTTCGCCACCGTCCAATTGAAGCATTCACGGTGGTGTTGATGGCCTGGCGGTTGACTTTGTTGCCTCTACGCTTCTGCGCGACCGTGGCTTATGGGGGCCGTTTTTTTCTTTGGGGGATCGCGGATGCTGGAGTTGAGGGAGATGTTTTTCCAGTTTGAGGCTGCTCAAAGTCCCCTTTCTGCGTGTTTGCGATTGAAGGGTTGCTTGATTGATTTTGATTTAAATAGAAAGGGTTTTCCTTCCTAGAGTAGAGATTTTGATATCATCATCAATACATTGACTGTCTTGTTACCTTTGAACCTATCGCTGCAACTTGAGCTTAGAGCAACCATACAATCAACCAATCAGTATACTATACTTGTGAACCAACAGACCAAACCAACATGCCGTCTTCCACTGCCAATCAGTAAGTTATTGATAACTAACATGTCAATTATGATCCACTCACAGTCATTTCTCAGATCCTCCAACTACCCGACCTACAGCAGCAACTCTGGTGGCTCGACTTACACGGGCGGCCAGGCCACTTCCACCAGCACTCAGCTTAACAGTTGGGCCAACACTACAGACCCCACAGAGCGATTCTACGCCACAGGCCAAAAAACTGGTCACGGTGCATGGGATGGCATGAACAAGGTTATGGCATTTGAGAGAGATTACAATCGAACGAAATGAGCATCTCAATGGGTATATGCTATGCTGTAAGATAGGATCGGGAGGGTTGTGGCTGTGAACTTTTAGCGTGGCGTTGGGGATAGAATTGGAGCTTTCAAGTCGTTTCCTTTGGGCTTTGTATAACAGAATCGGCAGTTCAACTCTGATAGAATACCTTTTTACTCAATCAAATTTTGCTTTACTCACCACATGGATATTGACATTCCAAATTCTCCTCATCATGTTTCTCATTCTCATATGGTTTGATCAAGAATAGTGTCTGATGGTAGTCCCCAAGTCCTACGGACTACGGAGTCCATTCGCTAGGATCATCAGGTGAACTAATCCATTGGATGCCTTCTGCTGACTGCAGCCTAATATTCCTCCTCACCTACCTCTTACAATCGTCGACGATCACTTATCTTTCCATCATGTTATATCGATTTTGGACTCTATGTTGATGAGCATCCGCCATCTTTGCAATACTGAATTTGACCATTTCCGCTCATACTGTTCAGTCCGTCAAGCAATATGTCTGACGAGCGATCGACATCGCCTGAAGGCAGTGACACTGTGGTCATTGGTAAAGACGACACCAGCAATTATAATTCAGGAAATATCTTGCCGCAATCTGAGGCTACTATTGCCCGTATTCATGAGTGGCTGCGACCTACGGAATACGATATTGAAAGCAGCGAATATCGCAAGCATTTGGCATTCCATCTCGAAGGTACTGGAGAATGGATTCACAGATCCGACAACTACCTCAAATGGTACGAGAGCCAAGAAGATGGCCTCCTGTGGATCAAAGGTGTTCCAGGCTCCGGAAAGTCTGTCGTCGCAGCCAGCATGATTCAAAGACTCTCTCAAGAATCTCCGGTTCTTTACTTCTTCTTTCTACAAATCGTTGATGCCAATCATCGGCCCATCAATCTTCTCAGAGACTGGCTAGATCAGATTCTTGTCTACTGCCCTCCATTGCAAGCATCTCTGAAGGCTTATATTGATGAGTGTCGGGACCTGGATAGTATATCAGTCGATGAGCTATGGAGACACCTAAGAACAGCTCTGGCATCTGTGCCCAAGGTCTATTGTGTGGCAGACGCTTTGGATGAAATGGACCATGGGAATAGCGATTTCATCAACCAACTGGCTAAACTTGGTGACTGGAAGCCTTCATCTGTGAAGGTGTTGTTAACCAGCCGACCCACTTCCAACGTCGAGGCTGCAATGAGAGGCACGAGATTTCTTCACATCCGAATGGACGAGAAGGCCGTGGATGTCGATATTTCTTCTTACGTGCGGTATTGTCTATCCGGCACTTCTCTTTCTGAGAAAGACCAACAACTTGTCAAAGAAGCGGTACCTGGTCGAGCCAACGGCTTATTTCTGTACGCTAAATTGGCCATGAAATCATTTCTGGAGCCAGAGGCCGACATTCACGAGACGATTCGCAAGCTTCCGCTTGATTTGGACGCTATGTACATCGACATTCTACGAGAACATGCTCGGAGATCTGGCATTTCAGAGAACACACAGGTGTTGATCCTACAATGGGTAACTCACGCAACCCGTCCACTTCGGCTGCTGGAGCTTGCAGATATGCTCAAGACGGTCGAGGGAGACAGATTCTCACATAACCTGAAAGAGAACAAGGATTTGGTCCGGGCTGCGTGTGGCCCTCTGATCGAGGTCTTACCAGATGAGACTGTAAGCGTTGTGCACCATTCCCTTACGGAGTTTTTGGTTGGGACATCAAGAACAGTACATAACCCAGTATACCCCATATTGGACTCCTCACCAACTCATTACGATCTTGCTCTCGCTTGCCTCCGATATCTCTGCGCTGGTTGTCTCCAAGATGAAACTCTTACTTCGTCAGAAACTGTTCATCGCGAACACAACCGCAACGTGGATTTTCCGTTCGCAGCGTATGCTACAAAGAACTGGCATGTACATGCTGCGAAGTCTGAATGGAATTACTTACAAAATGACTTATTGTATCAACAAATTGAATTGTTCTTGGGCAATAAGGAGACACGAAACAACTGGCTGACAACCTACTTCGATGTCCCTGAAAGAATCAGGATTGAAGATGCCACAGCCTCTATGTCGGATCTCCATGTCGCTGCACTGTGTGGCCTCAAACCGTGCATCTCAGCTCTGGTTGGCCGTCTGGGCCAGAAGAGTATAGACGAGCAAGACGCAAGAAAGAGAACACCCTTGTGGTGGGCTGCTTTCAGCGGTCACGCAGATATCATCGAGTTGCTACTGAACCATGGGGCGTCGCCTAGTACTCACGACATTCAAGGCCACCAGGCATTGCATGTAGCTGCAAAGAAGGATAAAGCACAAGTTGTTCATCTACTCATTGAAAAGGGAATCTCTCCTACAGTTCCACGTCTTCCAACAGACACCGATCCAACCAGAGGGGATGCAGATACACCATTGTCATATGTAGCATCATACGGCCATGTCAACAGCTTAGAAGCGATGCTCCCATTATTAAGCACTTCCGAGAAACGATCTGCCTTACGCATCGCCATAAAGAACAGGCAGCCCCAGTTCGTCAAGCGTCTTCTTCAGGAGTCTGATGCCAATCCGAACGACAGTACAGGATCTGAGACATCTATATTTCTGGCTGCTAGAACACGCTGTGCTGAAACAATTGAGGTGTTGGTTAATGCTGGCGCGGATGCCTCTGTTGCTTGCAGGGTGGAGGCCGATGTCTGGGATAAACAAGAGAATGTGTTGGAACGCCCCTGGTCGACTCCTCTGATAGAGCTCTGTGAGCCACAGTCTCATTTTATACGTCGACCATATATATCTCCCCACCACATGTTGGATCTGGACTGTTCAGATTTTGATCGTAACTTGGCGTTGCTTATCCGAGCTGGTGCAGACGTCAACGAGAGAGATTCTCTGGGTCGTGCTCCTATACACTCCGCGCAGTTTTCTCACGTGTTGAGACGTCTGCTCGCAGCGGGCGCTGATCCAAATGCTGAGACAAAGGACGGGAAGACCGCGCTGCACTGCCTGCCAAAGAAAGGTGACGGAGAATACCTGAAGCTCTTGTTGCAAGACGGGAATGTGAACATCAACAAAAGAGAACACATAAAAGGAAGGACACCTCTTCTTGCTGCCCTTTATCATGATTCAGCCCTTGCTTCTCAGATGCTGAAGTATAGCCCCGATTGTACTGTCACTGATTTTGAAGGCAATGGACCTCTCCATTACGCATTTGCTCATTATGAGAGAGTGTCTTCGCCTAAGAAATTTGGAGGCGATGATTTGAAGAACGGAGACAACACTCTGCCGTCAGTCTTGAGAACACTTCTCGAAGCTGGTTCGGATCCGAATCTGACAAATATTGATGGGGAGACACCTTTACATATTCTTGTCGCCAAGGGGTTCACCCACCGCGAGGAATGTCTGCGTATGCTACTCGAATATGGAGCTGAGATCGATGCCAAAGACGTCAGAGGCCGGACACCCTTGTTTCGGGCCGTGGGCAGATTCCCAAAGCAACCCATGATGACTGAAATTCTTGATATTCTTATCAAGGCTTCCGCAAGTCTGAATGTCCGCGATAATTATGGGCGGACCCTTCTTCACGAAGCGGTCCACAGCATCACCGACCTTGACTATGCACAAAGAAGACTCACCGAGGGATACCAATACCTCATTGACGCTGGTGTGTCGCCTTGTGCCGTGGACCTGCACGGTAACACTCTATCCCACGAGTTAGTTCTCGCCCCGAATGCCACAAGACTATCCGGTAAAGGAGAAGGATTCCTTTCACTTTTTGAAAAGGCTGGGTTAGATGTAAACAAACCCAACTATGCTGGCACGACGCCTTTGCATCTAGCCTGTCGCATGCGTCTGGACGGAAACCATGGGGTCAATTACCATGCAAAAGATTGCTTGAGATGGCTCCTGAAACAATCACCAGATGCCAACGCTTCAGATACCCGAGGGTTGAGGGCCATCCACTTCGCCGCCTCCACGAACACTTACACTGTTGACCGCTTGTTGCGCGTCGGTGCAGACCCTTTCGTCATCACAAACCAAGGCATGAATGCACTACATATTGCAGCGAGGTGTAAGAGAAGTAACAATCTCGGCCTTCTACTTCAGCGAATGCAAGAGCTGGATCCCGACGCCACGAAAGTGGCACTCGACCAGAAGGATATCTTCCAATATACGCCATTGCATTACGCCAGTCGCTCTGGGATCATCGAGTCTGTGAAACTCCTAATCGAAGCAGGAGTTGAGGTCAACCCAACTTTTGATAAACTTCGAGGGACATGCTGTCCTGAACCTTGGTTCCCTCCAATTCTTCAGTGTGTATTCTTTGACCGTGAGCAACGTCTTTGGAGACGTGGGCCGGTCAAGAAGATACCTCGTGATGATGAGCTTCCCTTTCATCAGTTAAATGATCCTGACACAGATATCGCTGCTGGTTACGCTGTCGAGGATAAGGAAAGATACTTTGATGAGATTGTATCGGGGCCTCAACTCGAAGTCCTCGATCCAGTGTATGAGGCCTCGCGATATGGTGAGATCGTCAACGCTTTGCTTGATGCAGGAGCAGATGTTTTTCTGGGTTCCGACGGTCCAAGGTCAGCTCTTTACCGCGCGATGCTTTTCGCATCAGATGAGTGGCAGGACTACATTACATACCTCCTTTGGAACTGCCAGGAGAAAGCTGGGCATCTTGAACTTCCAACTCCTCTTCATATTGGGATATCGAGAAGCAAAGCTCTTCGTCAGACAGAGGTTGCGGTATTGGGAGAGTCATTCATCTCACGTGCTAAAGAAACAAAATGGAAGAGAGTGGCACGATTACTGTCGGACCGCCACTTTGCTTTGGTAGCGGGCCTGTACAAAGCTGGTGCGGATTATACTACTGTCGATGAAGATGGTGTCTCGATCCTTTCGCGACTCGTCGAATACGGGTACTACGAACTAGTTAATGACTGCTGCTCTTGTGAAGAGGCTGCCAGGTTTGATGATCCTAAATGGATAAAGGAACAAGGTGCAGAAGAGCTTGAGCCTTTGCTTGTGACGGCTTGTCGACGCTCTTCTCCCAACATGGAAGTCATTCGTGTCTTGGTAGAGGAAAAAGGCGTCGACATAAATGCACGAGGTCGTGGTGGTCTTACTGCTCTTCATATCTTAGTCACTGGCAAGGAGTGGTGGCAAGTCTTTCACGCCATGTCATATCTGCTTTCGAAAGGGGCAGATATGGAAATTCGAGACGACAAGGGGTGCACACCGCTGCTCTATTCTTTCACAAAATGGGGCGCCTTCCGGACTGCAGCGATGAAGTCCCTGATCGAGAAAGGTGCAGACGTGAACGTCTTAGATTCCGAGGGAAATGGATGTTTGAACAAAGCATCACATCACGAAGAGTTTGTTCGACTCTTAGTCGGTCATGGAGCTGAAGTCAGTCCAACCACCATCCTTTCTGCGGTTGAGTCCAAGTACCCAAACATCTTGAGTATTCTGTTGTCTGGCGAAAAGTCTTCCTCCCTTGCAGCGTCTTGGGAGATGACATTAGATTACGCAAAGCAGCTGGATCCTGATACAAATCCCCAGGAAGCCCAGATGATACGTCAAGGTCATCCTCTGCTCTTGGCAAGCTCTGCGTTGGGTACGCTCCGGGGCGGCGTCGAATTCGATCGTGATGCCGCTGCCAAACAGATGATGGAAGCGCTGCTAGGAGCTGGATTCAGTCCGTATGCCAAATGTCTAGTCATCGTTGACAAGGTCCGGTTGCCCAACAGACCTTCCCTACCAATGGCTATAGCGACTCATGCGTGGCACAAGAAGGATTCTGCGGTTGAGCTTATCCCGTATGCTAAAAGTCCGCACATCTTCAGACCACCTTTTATGGCTGAAAGGGTAGTAGCGCACGAAATCTTAAAAGGAAAGGGTGTCTATGGGCCGATCTTAGAGTTGGCGGATCTCAATACGGAGTTCCGCGATGCGTCTGGAGAAACTCTTCTTTTGGCTGCTTGCGAGCGAGTGTCAAGCAGGGGTCGTAAGGGGACCAGAATAGACCATTTGCCTTTACGACTCCTGCTAGAGAAAGGGGCAGATGCCTATGCAGTGGATAATTTTGGCAGAAATGCATTACATATTAGACTCGGGTCTCGAGCTCTGAATGATGATAAGTTGGAAGGGCTCAAGGATCTAGGGGACGCTGTGCCGGCTCTCATCAACCAGGCTGATGCTGACGGGTATCGACCACTGCATTATGGCCTAGCTGCGCTGGCGCATGGGGAGTTTGACCAGACTGAGCCCGAATGGCTTGACTATGTCATGACACAGGGTGCAGACATGCTTGCCACTGATGGTCTCGGAAACAATGCGCTCCATTACCTTGCCACCGGCCTCTTTGGATGTCTCTGCTATGATGGAGGTAATACTCGAGATCCCTTCGAACGCTTCTTGAAATTGGGACTTGATATCAATGCGCGCAACAATGCTGATCAGACACCAGCGTTCTTCCTTGCCATGAGAGGCTATGATGATCATAATGTGGATGAGGTGATGAGTTGGTTGGATGGATTGGGAGTAGATTGGCTGGCGAGAGATGATAAGAGGAAAACTATTCTTCATGAAATGGCTGACGAGAGGGAGGATTTGTTCAAGGCTATTATGGGTAAAGGAGTTGATCCTTTGGCGGAGGATGATGATGGGCGGTCGACTTTGGATTTGGTGACGGCTTATGATAATCAGAATGTGCTGAAGCTGTTTGATCGGGACGGTAGGGATTATAGGGAATGAGGGATCTACGATAGCAGGATACTGAACATTGATGATGTATGATGATCAAATCTTCTTGCATGAGATTTACGATGGGTATACGATGCAGAACGAGCTTTAAACAAAAGTCGAACTATAAGGTGATGGTGGTCTGCTTTTGTGAATAGCCTCAACGACGTCACCGCCACTGCTGAACCAATCATGTTGATTCAATATCCAAATCAGGAAAGTGTTTGAATACTAATGGACCTCGAGAAAATGCGATAAAATCAGGCGTTCGTGTAAGTAGACAAGATGCCATGACCTGACATAAGATAGGGTACTTATTTGAGATATTCTTTCATTGAAAGACAAAGTAGGCGTTGGCATTGGCAGTAAGCTCCTTATCGGAGATAAGGAAAGAGACAAGGTTAAGCTTGGCTGAACAGGGATGATGGTTATGGTGGTGAAATCGGCGATTGATCTGAGATGCGCCTATCAGGGCTGCATTACAGGTTAGATGCATGCCGAAGTGGTTGCCAGACAGAAAAGGATAGAGGAAAAGTTTGTTCCTGAAGGCATTGAAAACTTTGATACTCTCCAGATTCTTCTATTCGCCTGAATATCATCTTCATGAGTGTATGACGTCGAATTCCGAACGCACTATCGCGATCTTGATTAACCTCCGAGACCGAGTCAAGCAGGGAGATGTTGCTTATCGCGCAATATCCATTGGCTGACCCGGTAATAAAGTAAACAAGCACGCAAGAAAAAAACTTGTCTTTCTTTGTCTTATCCAACCAATGCCGTGGACACGTTGGCGAGCAACGGTTAGTTACTGGTGGGTCTGCCCGAGGAATTCTCGGGGAGCCCAGTGTGTGAGAGTTCACCAACATCTGGTATTTTCCTTCATTTTGGAAGAGTAAGTTGAAGAGTTTTATAAAGTCACTGATCCTCAGGTCTTGGCGGAGTATGAGAAAATGTCAGTCACTTATCAGGTTATGTTGCAAAACTGTAGCATGGTGATTACACCGAAAGAGCGGTCTTGCGAATAACGTCACTGGCCAACTTTTGCTTCTGGGAGGCTAAACAGGGGGCACATTCCCCAATCTATACTGTTACCCCGGGTCTTCATGATCTCTGTTGGTCGCTGTGAGCCAGTGGATAGGCATGATATGGGGGCATCATGAGTGCGAAAAGCCTCTGTTTCGTTACCTAACGGACACAAATTGCGTAGCATCTTTCCCCCTTGGCCCGGTCCGTGCATTCGCCGGCGCCGATTATCCGAGTCTTCCCGAGCTGCTAAGAAAAATCAATGGCAAAGGAGGCATTATTTTTCCCTTTCCCCAGCTGCTCCGCCGCGGGACCAAGTAAAAAAAAAAAGTCACTCAAAACGCCAGAAGCTCTCACTCTCTCCCTTTTCTTCTTCCTCCACCATCTCCCCTCAGTCTTTTTTTTGCTTAAACGTCTGATCACATAACCCGTCATTCACAATGGCTGCCTCTACCGGTTCCACCAAGGTCGACGCCGTCGTCCAGAACATCAAGGCTGAGACCCCCGAGAACAAGACTGGTCTTGCTCTCTACTCCCGATTCGCCCTTGCCGGTGCTGTCTGCTGTTCCGTCACCCACGGTGGTCTCACCCCCGTCGATGTGTATGTTTGAATCGCCGCTGCGCTGAGTTTCTCGTCGTCAATTGCTTGAGAGGTGTTTGTGCGCGGGTTGTCTCGGAGAAAACTTAGTTGGGAACCCCGAGATGGACACTTTTCAGTTCAGTTCCGCAAAACCTTGATAGCCATGATGGAGAAGCAAAAGCGCAGCAAAATCGAATCGAAAGAACAAAGTATACTGACTCTGAAATCACAGCGTCAAGACCCGTATCCAGCTCGACCCCGCTACCTACAACCGCGGTCTCGTCGGTGGTTTCCGCCAGGTCGTCCAGAATGAGGGTGCTGGTGCCCTCCTCACTGGTGTCGGCCCTACCTTTGCCGGTTACTTCCTCCAGGGTGCCCTGAAGTTCGGTGGTTACGAGTTCTTCAAGCAGCAGTGGATTGACGCTCTCGGCTACGAGACCGCCTCCAAGAACCGAACTGCTGTCTACCTCGCCTCTTCCGCCACCGCTGAGTTCTTCGCCGATATCGCCCTCTGCCCTCTTGAGGCCACCCGTATCCGTCTCGTCTCTGAGCCCACCTACGCCAGCGGTCTCGTCTCTGGCTTCGGCAAGATTGTCAAGAACGAGGGTGTCGGTGCTCTCTACGCCGGATTCGGACCCATTCTCTTCAAGCAGTGAGTGTTTCCCGCTGTTATACCGCTCAATTGAGCTTCAGCAAGCTGACTTTTCCCACTTAGGATTCCTTACACCATGGCCAAGTTCGTCGTCTACGAGAAGGTCTCTGAGGCTGTCTTCCGCAAGTTCCCCAAGAAGGACCTCTCCGACGGTATGCAGACCGTTGCCAACCTTGGCTCTGGTCTGATTGCCGGTTTCGCCGCCGCCATCGTTTCTCAGCCCGCCGACACCATGCTTTCCAAGATCAACAAGACCCAGGGTCTCCCCGGTGAGGGCACTGTCTCTCGTCTCATCAAGATCGGTAAGGAGCTCGGTCTCCGTGGCTCTTACTCCGGTATTGGTGCCCGTCTCTTCATGGTCGGTACCCTCACCGCCGGTCAGTTCGCCATCTATGGTGATCTCAAGAAGGTATGTCAATTTCAACCCCCTTAACAGCTCTGGACATCATTTTTTAACGCATTTTCAAGGCCATGGGCGCAACAGGAGGTGTAGAAATTGCTGCTTAAGCGCATTTAAACACATCTAGAAAGATTCGCGGGGTGCGAGAGGTGATATGAGAAGTCTGGGGAGTGTGGCCCAAGTATTGCCCAAGAGCTGGGCCTACTTGTAACAACAGCTGCTGTTAATGCCAAAAACAGCTTGGCAGGAGCTTACGGATGACGTCCAGATGTGCTCTCGCTATCTGGGAAACAAAAAAGTGATCTTTTGGTTGAGGGGGGATGCTCGTGTTAGACTCATGTTTGCCTATGATACCTTTCCGCATTAATGGGCAGCAGACGGGTGATACCCCGCCGAAAGGTTGTATAATAGTCTCTTTTTACGCTGAAATCATAGACTGGGAGTTTGTGGACTCTTATATCTACTTGTTTTGTTCATCATGACTATGATATGTGAAGCTATTCGCAACTGACACCAACGACGCCCTGGGATCAATTGGAGAAAATGATGTTGATTGAGCAGTCTAGTGTCTAGGAAGAACTCATTAGAGGACCTTTCACATATAAAACTTATCTCTGCCTTGAATTGATAATGTTCATCATGACATGTCGTTGCAATAAGGCTGAGCATTAGGCTACCGCACCTTCCTTCTCCTCACATCATGCTAACCACGAGACCCCCACGTGCCGCCCATCTATAACTTATCCAAAAATAGAAACACCAAATGGTTCGATTAACCATGTCTTTCATCTGTTGTCATCTTGAGATCACCTTGTGATCATTGGGTACCTAGGGAGAAACGGGTAAAACTCGCACTTAGCACACTGCTTCTCCTTGCTTGCGACCAATCAGCTCCCCTCACACATCGATCACAATGACTGCTCTTTAGACGATCACCATTGAAGTCAAAGGTTATAGTTGCAGCATGATGTTTACGGACAATTGAGCTTGCTCATACAGAGAGCATCGGTAGAGGCACTAGAACATTTAGGTCAACCTTGACGAGGTCTCCAGCCACATTACCGAAGCTTATGATGAGTTTTGAGTATAATACAAAACTCATCATAAGAATAGTCTAAGAGGGTAGTAGTTTAGGTAAACTTTGAATATATGATTACCTACTCAGCTTTGAAGAGCTGCTCTGATCTTGATGTGGGACATCAGAGTATACAGAGTACGTCGAGTAATATTAGTCCTCTGAACCAGATCCACACACTTACATATAATGATTCTATGTGGGCTTATGCTTTGTTCTCTTCGATTTTCAATTTAATATTAACCTTTTCCAACTTATAATTGTCGTTCTGTTGCTGTCGTTAAAAGTTGAGGCCTACCAGTAGAACCGCGGTCCAATTCCGCGTGGGGATGAGCTTATCTTATCAGCCAGAAAATATACCAAATTTTCTTCGTTTGCAGACAAAGATCAAAGGGACCAATCCCCCACCTACCCGCCCTACATCAACAGATCAACAGCGAGAGCCTCGACGTCGCAATGGTCAAACGAAAGGTCGCTGCGCTCGAGAAGCTCGATGCTGACTTGTACGTCAATTGCGAATCAATTGCGCCTCTTTTGGACCATTCACTGACAATTTCTACAGCGCGAGTCTGCAACAAAAAATCCGTCGCGATCCCAAGTACGTCTTTCAATTCTCGACACTGCGATTAAATATTAATACGAAGCCATAGATCGTACAAGGAAGAGTTCCTGAAGCAATGGGAACAATATGAGGCTCAGCGCGAGATCTTTCTCGTCTCACCTGGCACTGCGACCGCCGATTCTGTCGAGTCTTTCCACAACATTATCGATCTAATCGCTCACGTCGCCGATTGCTACAAGGAAGAGACAGCCACTTTCCCCGACGATCTGAAGTCTATTCTTACACAGCACCATGTCATTCTGCACCCCGAACTGCGGGAGAAGATCGTGGGAAGTCTGGTCTTGCTGCGACGAAAGGAAGTTATCGACTCGACCAGCGTCCTCACCACGCTTTTTCCCATCCTCGTATCGTCGCCTAGCAAAACTCTCCGTGAAACTCTGTTCCAGAAGATTTTGAGCGATCTGCGAAACTCAAACACGAAATCTATTAACCACCCTCTCAACCGAACCGTCCAGACCGTTCTTTACAACCTCGTTACCGCCGATCGATCTTCTCCCCGAGCTATCTGGGCCATCAAGCTCACCCGTGAGATGTGGAAGCGACAGTTTTGGACCGATGCGAAGCCCGTTGATGTCATGAAGGAGGCTTGTCTGTCCGATAACGAGAAGGTTGTTGTCGGTGCTGTTCGCTTCTTCTTGGGTGGAGACAAGGAGCGTGAGGAGCTTGAGGACGAGAGCAGTGATGAGGAGGTTGATCTGAGCCAGGTCAAGCATCAGATGGGTATCAACAAGAAGACTAAGAAGTCGAAGAAGCAGTACGATAAGGCTGTCGATAAGGTCAAGCGCGCTGAGCGCAAGAAGACAAAGCCTCATCCTCTCAACTTCTCCGCTCTTCACCTCCTCCACGATCCCCAGAACTTTGCTGAAGAGCTCTTTTCAAAACATCTACAAAACACCAAGGCGAAACTATCTCTCGACACGAAGATTCTAGTGACGCAACTAGTTACCCGACTTGTTGGTCTGCACAAGCTGACTATTGTGGCGCTCTACTCCTGGTTCATCAAGTTCCTTACTCCTCGACAACAGTCTGTTACTTCTTTCCTGGCTTCATTGGCGCAGGCAGTCCATAACTTGGTGCCTCCCGATGTGCTGGAGCCCCTGATTCAGAAGATCGCAAACGAGTTCGTTTCAGAAGCTTCGGCCGCTGAGGTTGCAGCTGCTGGTCTGAACTCTATTCGCGAGATTTGCGCTCGTCAACCCCTGGCTATGACTGATACTCTGCTACAAGATTTGGTCCAGTACCGCAAGAGCAAGGACAAGGGTGTTATGATGGCTGCCAAGGGTCTTTTGTCACTGTACAGAGAGGTCGGTGCCGAGCTTCTGAAGAAGCGAGACCGTGGCAAGAATGCCACTATCAACCTAAAGGCTGGTTTCCAGGCCCAGCGCAAGTTTGGTGAGGAGGATGTTGGTGGTATTGAAGGTCTGGAACTTCTGGAGAAGTGGAAGGAGGAGGAAAAGAAAAAGAAGCGACTTGCCAGAGGCCTTCCCGAGGATGCTGCTACTGATGAGGAGGATGAAGGAAACAAGTCTGACGAGTGGGAGGTTGCTTCTGATGACAGCAGCGAGTCTGGTGATTGGATTAATGTCTACCATTCTTCTGATGAGGAGGATGACGAAGATGAACCCGCGTCAAAGAAGCAAAAGACAGACGAAGAGCCTGTTATGGATGAAAGGACCAAGAAGGCTCTAGAGGAGAAGGAGGCCGAAATCGACCGCATCTCCAAGCTCGCCACTACAACCATCCTCACACCCGCCGATCTCGCCAAACTCCAAGAACTCCGTATGTCCGCCTCCATCGACAAAGCAATGGGCAACCGCCGCAAGCGCCAGCAAGAAGACCGCCACCGGGACGACGGCCTGACCGCCGAGCAGATCGAGGCGCCCGCGCGTCTGCGCAAGCTGACCAAGGAAGAGCGTGTCGCGCTCGCCAAGGAGGGCAAGCCAGATCGCGAGGAGCACAAGAGCACGCGGGCCATCAGCAAGTCCAAGATGCAGGCCCAGGGCAAGAGCACGAGTAATAGGGAGAAGCAGCGCAACAAGAATATCTTTATGACGATGGGTAAGGCGAAGAGCAAGCATAAGAGGAGTTTGGTGGAGACGAGGAAGGTTCTTAAGAGACATGTTGATAGGAGTACTAGAGGTGGACGAAGAGCGAACGGTACATAGTTTTGGAGTTTTGGGGGGGGGGGAGGGGTTGGGTTAGAGATTGATTCACTTGTGCTATTGACACAGCGCGTACTCAAAGAAAGACTTGATTTTTGTTTCTATTTACTACCTCCGTGGTTCTTTGTCCTGTGTCTTTTGTTGA